TATCTAATAACTCGCGTGAACTTCATTTGGGAGTTATTCTTATATGCATAAATTAAAGTTTACATATAGTTTGAATGACTAAGAAGACAAGAACTTCTCCCCTCCCAGTTTGTTTTACGTGGCATTCCACTGTCCAGTTTTTCCTTGAGCTTTCTTTTCTCTTCTCTTTCCAGTATTAGCCTGATGAGAAAGTCCTAAGTATTAGTTTGGTCAAAAAGTATCAACTGAAAGTCCTACTTCGTACGTAATACTGGAAGCTGATGTTAAAAGTATGCAACTGGCTCGCCCTCGATTTCATGTGTCTTGAACAGCTTCGCAACCAACTCACCTCCCTGCCAGTACCCTAAATAATATCACATACGAAACCTGAATCACAATAACTGGTCCGTGACAGATGCAGCGGAAATCCGGATAAACAGTCCAACTCGAGAGACCACTTTACCCAACGGCAACACATATATAATAATGTTATGCAGCAGATTTCCCTGGAACTTTGTATTGTATCAATCCATCTAATGGAAGTCAATTAACAACCAACGAATCTCCTTGACAACGTTGCATAATTCAATGTGAAGTCTATGAAGTTTTACACATGTGTATTATCCACCACCGTTGAACGGCGATGCTTCCAGTCTTTAATTACTACCAATCTGAAATGCTGGAAAAGATAATACTTGAAGAGTGAGAAACGCCTGAACTTGGACATTCACCTGGATTAAATGATTGAATGGATACTTAATTATTCCTGAAATTATTAAAGCAAGTTATCGCTGGCCAATAAATCTATGAACATAAGAATTATTGTCAAAGTAGACGTTTATCTGACGGAACACTGGGTCTTGCAGATGGATCGACCACGTCAACCACTCATAACGCACACACTGAATTTTGAGCCGTTTGAAATGAAAAAAGAACTGTGAGTAGGAATGACTTGAACTCAAAACGATGTGTGTGTACTGTAATGTGATATTTTCCTGCTATTTTAATAGCATTTAGACACTTGGTATCATGATAGAGTTTAGTGTCCTCCCTCCGTGCCATTCAAAACTGCTAAAACCTTTTGTGTTTCTCTGCAGCTATCAATTTGATGAGGTCTGTAAACTGGCTTCTCTCATGTTGACTTCATAACTTGAGAGTGGAGATATTTATTCTATTATATTACTATTTATTTCGTTGGAATTCTAGCTTTCTCCGCCCGCTGCTTTGCCTGTTTTTTATCTGTTGATGAAAAGAAATTCAGTTCTAAACGTTGACTTGGTCATCATCAAGAATTAATTACTTAAGGAACAGGCCATGGCTGAAACTACCCTTCATGCAGAGCAACCAACCCTACCACGTCCAGAATACCTAATTACAACAAGCAGAAATAAATAATCACTGGTCCAAAACTTCATAATTATCAAAATCTAAGATTTACTCATCATAAAAGCGACCAGCGAAGTCTGACACTAACCAACTGCATGGCTGTCACGACCCGTGAAAACGGCGGACAAGATGTCCTGGAAGTCCGTTTGGCGCATTCAAACAAGTCTATTGCTTCTGGATTCTGGAGTTGGAAAGGTGAAGATAATTGGCTTTCAGCCATAATATTCATCATTACTATGAATCTTTGACGTGGAATGGCATTAACATGCATAAATCATACAGTCCTGGAATCATCAATGAGGTACAATATGTCAACAATTCGTGCATACATTCCTACATAAACTTTTCATCGTTATCTCAAGCAAAAAATACAAACTTTTACAATGGAAGTATTAGCTTCAAGCTTTATTTTTCTGCAGGTAACACCTGTAATGACTAGATACAAACCTAGTTTTTCGTTAGTGCGGAGGCATTACTTCCACGCGTCCAACTTGTAAATTTTCTGCACGCTTATCCTGCTGAAATGTTCCATTATATGAACATGCAGCACTGATAACTTCTGGTGACAGTGGGTGGGGGTTGAGATTACCTTCCGTGCATATATACGAATTTATACATGAACATACTCATACTCGTAAGAATGGTGTGTGCCCGTATATTCAGGGGTAAATATTATTATTACTGTCATAACCGTACACTTAACGAGCGGTTAGTTTCGAAAGGGGCAAATTGGGAGGTGGTATCGCCGCTAATATTTTTGGCCCATCGTGCCTTGGTACAAGGAACTACCGGGAAGTCATCGTTCCAGCTAATGTACGACAGGAAACCACCGTTCCCGATACACAGCAAGGCCTGGCCCCAAAAACAGACATCGAACATGACTAGATTGAGAACTGGGCGGAAAAAGGCAATCAGAAATGTGAAACGGAAACATAAAGCTGGTGCTGAAAAATATGAGTAGAGAGGAGGAAGTAGATGGAAACCGTTAGGGACCGGAGATCGGGTGAAAGGTAAAGAACTAGGATATACGTCAGGAGGTGAATATGGTTTATGGAAACTACTCTCGAAGTGGGAGAGACCACACATCACTACGATGAGGCGCGGTTCAGTTTATACCATCAAAAAAGGGACAAAGAGAAAAAAGTAAAGGCTGGCCTTCTTCAAAACCGGAAGCGATGTCAAAAAGACGGAACTACACATGAACACCGAGAGGAAACAGCACCAAGACGATCAACATGGTTGCAAGCCATAAATTTTGACGGTGGGAAGAGTGTAGTCGGCGCTACTGGTGAGAAGGGATATGAATAGCATATATTGAGAGGGTGGCAGAAATCATGTGGAATCACCCTATGGGGGTAGGGATCCGCCAAGAGGAGCGAAAGGAACAAGGCAGGCGTAGGTAGAGCGAATCGAGGAAGATGCAGGAGAGGAAACGGAGCGTATTTTGCAAATGATGGTTTTAGCGTGGGGTGTACCACATTTAACGACTACTGCCCCGCTTGTTGACAAAAAACATCCCCTCCTACATATCCGCCTTTTGTTTCTTTCAGCACGAGCGACCCAATCATTGATCCCGTGGACCATCTCGAGGAGACGAAAATACCGTCCTCCGTGGACAAACCACCACGACGTGAGAAAAAGTGCTGGAGTCTTGCCACCCACCTCGGCAAACCCAAAGTGGTGAAGCATTGAAGAGAAGCCTGCAATAAGTGTATCGCCACTATCTGCCGGTCTCGAATATGCCTTAAAACACGTCTCGCCTAGGCTGCATTGCAACAGTCGAAGAGGTTATTTTCCTGTATGAAGTGTAGAAATAAGATGTGTCGTGGCATACCCGCCCTAATCAACGGGACAGAAAATGACTGTTTGATTGAGAAAGATAGGGAAAAAGCAGAAGCCATTGCTGGATATTTTGCAGAGGTCTTCACACAGGAATCTTCCGTGGACAGTTACCCAAGAGTAGAAGCATTGACATATAACAGAATAAACCTGATGGATACCGATCGCAACGATGTATTTCGGATGTTAAGTGATCTTGACGTGGAAAACTCAACGGGACCGGATGAGCCGCACCCAAGGCTGCTCGGAGAACTCGCGCTCTATGTCGCCGAGCCATTGACTACTATATTCAGACTGTCTCCCAGTGAAGGCACACTCCCCTATGACTGGAAGGATGTCATAGTAACACCCATCTGGGCAGCTCCTATCAAGTTACAAACTGATAAGTCTGACTAGTACTGTGGTGAAAGTCTTAGAAACAGTAATCAAGAAAGCCATCACAGTTCGTCCAGAGAGCAACACTACTATCTCGTTCACAGCACGGTTTTCGTAGAAACTTCTCCTATTTGACGAACCGCCTTGCATTCTCAGAAAGTTGGGTCAAGTCTAAAGATGATAGGGTACCAATACATGTCATTTTCATTGACTTTGTCAGGGCTTTCGATGAGGTACCTTATTCCAGGTTACTCGGGAAACTGGGAAGTTTGGGAATCACTGGCAGTCTGCTCGCATGGATAAGAGGCTTTCTTTTGGTAGGAGACAAAGGGTGAGGATCAATTCTCAACTCTCCACTTGGAAGTCGGTAGAGAGTGGAGTGCAGCAAAGCACATTCATGGGCCCCCTACTGTTTCTCTATACGAAAATGAGCTGCCAAACATCATGAAATTTCCTACACTTCTCTATGCTAATAATGTGAAAATCTGGCGGGAAATTAGCAACTATGGGGATATACGTGCGCATCAGGCAGACCTAAGCAGCTTGTTTGCCTGGTCAGAGAAGTGGCTAATGCCTATCAATGCAGGTAAATGTATGAGCATGCACTCGGGGCATCAACACAGCATCACCTACGATATTGATGGGACTCCTTTACCGTCAGTACTGACCCATAATGACTTAGGAGTCACAGCAGGTTGTGACCTGAATGCCACGGCTCACTGTCGATTGGTAGCAGCTCAAAGTTTCAGGACTCTCTGGGCATTACACAGAACCTTAATTAAAATAAGTGGTGGCATGTTCATCATCTTATACACATCCATAGTTAGGTCTAAATTAGAAAACTGTACACAAGCGGCTAATCCTTGCCTGAAAGGTGAACCATACCTTCTAGAAAGCGTTCAGAGGACAGCCACTCGTATGATCCTTGCGATGGCTGGCCTCACCTATGAAGACCTACTTAAGGAGCTGTCCCATTGCAGACAGGGGAGACCTAATCATGCTATTCAGGATTCTAAGAAATGGCTTCGCACCTGATCTGTCTTCTCTTTCCCTTCCCACTGGGTCGAAAAACCTCAGAGGATATAGTAGGAGACTACAAAAGCAAAAAACGAAGTCTCCTCAGAGCACTGGTTCTCTCGTGGAGTAATCAAAGCCTGGAATCAACTCCCAGAAGAATTGGTGTCCGCATCATCAACTGACTCATTCAAAAGGGGATTAGATGAGCTGGAAAAGGATAAATATGTGCTCTCAGCTTCCTATCCTCAAACAACATATCTGAGTCTGAATATTGAGCATCGTTAATTGTCCTTGGAAAAAGCGATTATTCTTAATTGTAAACTGATACTGCGTGTAGATGGGTCTATGGAGTTAAATACATTATTGCTTATTTAAGTGTTGAAAAGTTGTTTTCGAGCAACGAAATGTTTATTCCGGAAAGAAAACCCAGTCATTCGCGTGACACACAAGGAAATATTGTTGGTCTGGATTTCTCAGGGGATGACACTTCGGATTCGACATCAAAAGAATGGGTTTATACAAGATGGGCCAAGTAATTCTCACCTATTATTTATATCGTCTCATTATTTTCGTGCCAAATTACTGTCATTTATTCGCAAGTTTTCAAGTAGAAATGAATCCTAGCGCGCTAGGATTCATGACGTTCATGACATTACGCGTAATGTCATGAAGCCTCTGATTACGAGTAAAAGCATCAGCCCTCTAAACAGAGCACAAGCCACCAATCTTAAGTAAATTTTGCCAAATTGGAGCCAGTAAAGAGGGTTTTTATTCTTCGGATAGCTTAGTAATAATAAATTGCAGTTTATCAATTTTCAGTACTTTTTTACCATTCGGACAGCTCATTGGACTCACATTCCGAATAAATATCTGAAATGTCAAGACATAACTTATCAACCCTGCTGTTAATGCTAAATCATTCTGTTAACGTGAACAACCATCAATGGAAACATACTACTTTCAAAAAAACCTTAAATAGTGAATCATTTTAGAATACTGTTTGAAAACTTGCATAGTCAGAAGCTTATGGTGACAAAATAGGGCAACAAAAACATGGTGAAATGTTGATAAAGGCTTCTGTAGCACGAACTTTCTATATTCCCTTACCATGTTAAAGTTATATTTAGGTCGAGCCAGAGGTTAGACAAGTATGAAAGTAACATATGGACACCAATCATAGCTAATAAACCTTAAGAAAGTAATCAGTTTTTGAGACGTTTAATAAGCCAAAATGCCAAAAGGTTGATCCATTTTGAGTGGTTCTTTTACTTAGATATGTCTCTCCATCCATGTCATAATGCATGTTTCATCTTCAGTAAATTTGTTTGTCTTTTTCAAAGCTATTTGTTAAATCCTTTATTAAAGGTTGGTCCTACTTACCCTTCCCCGATTACCCATTCGAACGGAGTTACTATATTGAATGAGAAAGCAAACTTGCCAGGTTCATACCTGAATAATAGTTCACTATACTTGACTAAAGGCCATGAATTACATAGCTTGAGCTAGGATACATTTGAAATCAAGTAAGAGTCAAATTATTTCAGCGCCTGACTGTACACTCTCAAGCAAAAAATCCAATAAAACGGTAATTATCAGAACCTGAACACGATTCAAAGCTTTGTGTACCTCTTCAGAATGCTTGCAGTATCGTTCAGCAATGAGTGCAGTAACTACCATTTGAACACTTTTAAGTTTCTTGACCCAAGAAGTATTTACAACAACCAGATATTTTCCCTTAGACAGCCTAAACAAATGGTTGTTTGACTGCGGTAACAATCAATATAAGAGCCTATTAGTGGTGTTTGTTATAACATGTGACTTGTTTTCCCATGCCCAATGCTTGTAATAAGTAAGCAACTTCAATCTTATCTAACAAACTTAAACAACTTAGGGATTAACTGATGATGCATTAAGACACTTAACTGATGTTTTAACCACTCCAATTCGAGGTGTATTTTTATGCTGTCAAACTACATCGTTTATGTGTTTGAAAGTTTTTAAAACAGCAACGACTTGTCAGTACGTGCTTTTTGTCCCTGATTGTGATAGTGATGAGTGTATCACTACTTTAAGTTCCAATTTTTAGAAAAAAAAGGCCAAAATGACACTATTCTGTACTGAGGGTTAGACATCATAAAAATTTTGACTGGGGATGTAGCTTTACTTTGTTTTTTTAGTAGTAGGGTTTTCGTATCCTCAACTAAAGCATACAAAAATTCTAATTAAATTTCATATTCACAGTATTCACTGTTATTTATAATACAGCGTATTCCTTCAAATGGAAGTTAGTGAAGTGATAATTTATAACTCATTCGCTGCCAAAAAAATTAATTATACTAACTAAACTCTGACAACAAAGTATACTTGGGTCTTTACGTGTTTTCCGAAAAATGCCAAATACAAATTATCCTCAGTGTGCACTTAGTGTGAGGGCAACAGGTGTAACAAATACTCTACATTTTCAAAACTCCTTCTAACTGTGTGCATTTTTTAAATTAGAATAGGAATTTCAAGTTAAATGGAAAATATTTTTGATGCAGGTCACTCTGTATCACGTCATTTTTTGAAAAGAAACTTATCCGATTCTGATAAAAGCTACTTTCAGTGTTAACTCTGCGTAGTATCAGTAATTATTAATGTTTATTATCAACGTTATGTTTTAAATTCAATAAATTCATATCAGTATTGAGCAAAGTATTAAGACTGACAAACTGAAATACCAGTAACCTGAAGTATGTTGCTCTGAAAAACTTTTGTTATTCTAAGGCTGACGTTTAATACAGCAGAAAAGACTCTAATGAAAAAGCAGGTTTAAGGCAATTTTTTAAGCAGTTGTTCTAGAAATTATTATAACAAATAACGGAATTAGAAATGGACAAATCTGGACCTTTTTATTAGTAGTCTAGTGGCACTTCGGTACCTGACATCAAAGATTAGTAGTCACTGGATTTCACTTTGCTCATACCTTTCATTTATCTCTATTTTTTTAAAGTTGCTCAGCCTCTTTTGTCCATCCCTGTTAAGTGTCGTGACGGTGGTGCTGAACTGCAGTTACTACGTATACATAAACATAAGCATTTTAGTAAGAATCTGTCTAATATTTGTGTTCATTCTACCTAAATATTTTGGTATGATACGGTAATATTTGAAAACACTTTATCAACGAAATTAATCACCTAGAATATGAATTTGAAACCGGAGGTTATTCAGATTATTCCTACCCAGCTGCTGAAATTTACTAAATCGCAGTCTTTTGATTTTCTTTCCTACACATTTTCAGTGTGTTTTCTAATGAGCCCGTTTTGAATCAAAGTCATCTACTTAGATTTCGTTGTCACCATTTTTCACCAGCTTCAGCTTTTTGTTAGCTTTTCCTGAAGAATTAAAAAACAACTTAAGAGTCTGTGAAAAACGAATTCCTTTCACATTATCACGTTTTAGAGAAATTTATACTAGTCTGCAGGAAGCTAATTGAACTTTGAAAGTTTTGTTGCGAATCACTGCCGTCATCAAACGCCTTAGCATTCAACCATGTAACAGGTCCCAAATAAGAATAAACGCTCATCCCAGATTCTACTTTTAGCCACTATCCGCCATTATTGTCACCAGCTTGCTACTTACCTTATCCTTTCTCAACCTACTGAGTTACTTCGGTTTCATATTAAAAATGATCGTGTTTTAGTGCTGGCAAAATATGCGGATTTATTGATTTTGGCAATGGTTTTAAAGCTAATTATGCGTCACTTGTTAAGAAGATTCTATTTTAGCTTATGGTTGAAGATAGACGGAAATCGCTCTGAAGAGGATGTAGCAACATTTCACTGAGTGCCTGTTCATCTCCTCCGGTTAATCATGAGAATTGCAGTAATTGTGATACTATGATTTGTTCAGGAAATCTTACACTGAAACATTTCTTAGAACTATTTGCCCACATTTCCTAAGCATACTAGAAGCTGAAAACTTCGGCGTAAGGAAACAGAGTTCATTTGTCTAAAAAATGCAATGAATCATTTTACTCTGTTTAGAGTGAAACATAACGAATTAGTCATTAACTCACTGTTGCTGACGTTTTAATAATAAAATTCTTCTCTTATTAAATATTCTTGAGTACATCATTCGACCTTCTAATATATCTTAATTGTGCTTACGATATTCTTATTCTACATCTCATGATTCTTTGTTCATAACAATTATTATTGCATATAGTCTGAAGAGTTTCATCACTACCAGTGCCCAAGTATATTTATATATTTCAGCTGTACCTATGTTCTTTTCAATGACCTTTACAACATTTGCATTTCGCTGATTAGGCCTTATCTCACTACATTTTCCTACCTACGAGAGATCATAAGGATTTGTATTTCAGCTTGTTGTCAACTTAAACAGAAGTTGAGTTATAGAAAGTGTGAACGGCATTCTTCTTTCATGTCTTGATTTCAAATTGAAACTTGCTTATCCAAAAACATATTGCTGCTCTAATTATAAACTCTGTTCCTGGTTAAAGTGGTTTACCGTTAAGCATTTTAGACCTTTATAATTAATAAATGTAAGGAGAAACATATACACAGTCGATACTTGCTCACCCAACTATAGTTCTTAGAAAGTGTCGTACTATCGTAAATTAGATTTCAAAACCAAAACAATAAAAAGTGTATAGTTACATATGAGAAAAAAATTTTTCTCATAGTAAAGTTTCAATGTGTACTACCTTGATCTATAAACTGAAGTCAGAGTTAATTTTGGGGAAGGAAAAGTGAAAATCATTATTCAGTGAAACTCAGAAATCACAAGTTACCCAGTTCTTAGGTTTAAACTCAGTTTGTCTCCGTAATATCAACCAATTGTTATATTGTTGCTGAAGTATCTATGTACAGAGAATTCAGTTCAAAGTATCAAAATGATAATGCTGATTTTTCAAATCTTTATAGTGAAATCTTAAGCTTGTAATAGGATTCCATTTTTATTTCACTTTCAGTCATATGTTATGTTGCTGTTCCGATATCGTTATAATTGTTGAACAGATGTATATCTGAGAAAGGCTTTTTTAAACTACATTTGAATTTTCTGCAGTAATAATTACTAATTCAAATTCAACATAAACTTAACTGATGAATTGTCTAACTGATTAATATTTTAAAGTGTTGGGAATGTGTCATTTTACCCCTTTTTACATGCTAACCGTAAATGGATAAACTTGCAATGTGTCACTCATGTGTATAGCCCTTAGTAGGGTAACTGAGAAGTGTTTTGTCTCTCTACAAACCTTGGGACTTGCATTTTATGATTCATAATTTTACTGTGTTTAAAAAAATATCCGCAGGCTATAACTGTGAAATATAAACGATCTTAGGGTTTCACTTAAAACTTGCAGGTTGATTCTTCATTCTATATTAAACAGTTTTTTTTGGTATGGCATACAGTGATATAGTATTATTTACTGGATGACATTTTGAGCAGAACTTATCACTCAATGAATTCTGCTGGTAACGGCATTTAGTAAGTAATACTGGACCACTGTTTGCTATTTTAAAT